GGAGCCGAACCTGAAGGCTCGCTGGGGCAGTGATGGGTTTACTCCCAGAGAGACCTGCTCAGATTTGCATTGGATGGATGAGCAGGAGGTGTGTGCAGGCGGAGACCACTGGCCGGAGGCTCGGGCAGTAGTCGGAGTGGACAACTAGCAGACGCTGGATAAGAACCTCAGCACTTTGCACACCGCCTTTCATCTAACCCTCACAACCACTCTGCACAGTCAGAGACATTCTTGTTATTCCCATTTCACAGATGAAATCGAGGCTCCGGGAGGTTACAAGACCTGCCCAGGTTCACAGAGCACGTGACAAAGCCAGGCCTTGAACCCAGGTCCGTCTGACTCCAGAGCCCTGCTCATAATGACTAATGTGGATAGCTCCGTGGGAGCAGAGAGGAGGGGTAGTACGCGAGACGTGGAGTGAGATGGCAAACCCCCAGCAGAGACAGAGCCCACCCTCTGGGTCACGTAAAGAGGTGTGGGTGAGGACAAGGAAGAAAACACGGGTGTGGAGGCCCCAGAGACCAGCACCTGCAGGAAGACTCGTCACTCGTAGGCCTGAAGGGTAGAGAGCCACTGTCTTCCTGAGCCCAGAGGGCTAGAGCCATGTGAGACGCCAGCTACAGAGAAACAGCACGGTCGCGGCGGCGGCAGGGAGCATCTGTCCCATCTGCTTTCTCCTGGCGCCCCCAGTCTCCTGATGGGGCCTTCCACATCCAGCCAGAAACCAGAGGGCAAGGGAGCCCAGGCATTGCTAACATGGGACCCCACCTGTGAGAGCACAGAGACAGCGAAGGAAGGTCTAGGGGGTGGGGGACCCAGAAGGAGCTGGGCTTGGGGATTGATTAGGAGAGTGAGAGTGGGGGAAGACTCCTGGGGGACTTCCAGGCCCCTCACCCGGGTGACAGGTGGACAGTGGCACCCTCCCTGAGTTGGGAAGAAATGGAGCTGCTCAGGGGAAGCTGACAGCTCAGCTCTGGCTGTGGCGTGTGGACATTCCACAGGACACCCAAGGTCTCTAGCGACGGGCCCATGCAGCTCTGGAACTCAGAAGAAGATGGGAACTGGGAAAGAGATAAGGAAATTGTCAGCACAAAAATAGTGCATGAAGCCTGAAAATGGAGGTGATAACCCAAGGAGAGCCCTCACATCGGCAGCACTGAGCCAGAGGCCCACTTCCATCTTGAAAAGATGGGGGAGGGGTGGAGAGGGAAACGACACGTCCCTTTTGCAGAGGCCCGACCCGGTGCTGAGCCTGAGCGGAGCCCGCTGGGCTGGGCGGCTCCGTGGGTCCGTCTCGCTCTCAAGTTTCCTCTGTGCTTTCGTCACTGTCCGAGGAGCTGCCTCCAAATGGGACACAAACCACGGGGATCCTCTTGTGGAGGAATGTATTACAGCTTTTATTTACTTTTTATGTAGAAAAATGAAAGCAGTTAAGCTTTACTAATATTTAGCCCTCGGACTGACCCTGGAACCCGAGTTCGGTGGGTGTGTCTGGTGGTCTTTACACAAGAACCCTCCCGAGAACGGAGTGCTGGTCAGTCGGTCACGCCAGAGAGTGACAGGGCGTTGTGTTGAGAGTCCCCAAGACAGCTCAGTAATTCCCAAGGAGGATTCATCATCGAAACAATATAAAGAAAAATCAGCAAAGGGAAAAGGTTCAGGGGGCAAAGACCAGGAAAAACCAGATGCGAGCTTCCAAGAACCTCTCTCCGTGGAGTCACAGGGGACGCGCCTAGTTCCCCGGCGACGAACTGTGACAGTGCATGTGCAGTGTTGTCTCCAGGGAAGCTCACTAGCTGCTCGGTGCCCTCAGGTTTAGTATCGGGGCTCCCTCTGCCTAGAACAGACCAAAACTCCAGACTCCCAGAAGGAAAGCAGGTGTGTAACCGACCACATCTGCCCAGACGTTCAGGCAGAGTCGCTCCCATTGAGGGAATGGGGGAAACCCTCCCCCGATCCAGGTTCCCATGTAGCAGCGTAAGGGCCCGCCTGGCCAGCAGGCCGGTCTAAGGACACGGTCCGCCATGCCTGCGACTCTCTGCTGCCCAGGACGTCCTCGGCCTTCTTCACTTCCAGTCTGCAGCAAGATACTGCAGTTTCCAGATGCCAGATTCAATCAATATGATTGAGTTTTAATTAACTCATTTATAACATTGAGTTTTAATGAATTTAGCCCTCACAAAATAGACAAGTGGCCTTGCCTGTTGCTTAAAAAAAAACATAAGTCCAGCAAATGTAATAAGCACGTAGGAGTGACACTTCTACCCAAAATAAGAGATCTTTGCCAGCTCCGTGGTGTGGTAAAAAATGGTGATATTATTTCATCATTTATCATCCTTTTAAAGTTTCCATGTTCTTTATATGTTCATTTTGAAAATTATTTTTCTGGTAGGAGAAGATAATCAAAATGAATCAAAGCCATTGGTCTTAATAGCCGTGGTGCCCCATTCAATTTGGAAGTATGTTGGATCACCCAGGAGCGTGTCCTCAGGCTGGTCAACCACCCCAGTGTGTCCTTTCCCTCTGACAGCTGACTCCTGGAGGAAACTGAGCCAGACTCAGTTGGAGGAGGAGGGAGCACAGTGTAGGGGAGACAGGGCTGGACTGGGACAGCCACTGAGTCCAGGCTCAGCTCTAGCTGGAGCCGTTGGCGCGGTTAAGAGAAACATCCTAGACGCTGAATCTCAGCTTCTTCACCTGCAAAGTGGTTTCTCACTCAGCTGATGGCTCCAAAACATCACCCTGGCTTTTGTTGGTTTTGTTTTGTTTATTTGTTTGTGTTTATCATATATACTTAGCCTCTGGCCTAATAATACAGTCTCCAACTTATAATACAACCACCAACAGTGGTTCAGACTTAGGGTTTTTCAACTTTACAATGGTGCAAAAGCGATCCACATTCAAAAAAGACCTACTCTGAATTTTGAATTGTGCCGGGACATAACCCCTTTGCATAAGTGGAGGACCATCTGTACTTACTGAATGAACATGAAAAGGAATGAACAAATGAATGAATGAAATGATCGATCCATAAGGTCCTATGCATCTCTAACAGACTAGGAATGCATGGTCTGGTCACTGCATGAGCTCAGGTCTAAGTCTGCAATAATTGGCTCCTTCCCTTCTCTGTTCTGTTTACTTTTCTTGCATACCCACATTGTAATGTGGGTAATGATGTGGTCATTCTATGCCTTTTCTAAAGGATTGTGATTCATTCTTGCCTGTCTGATTTCTCCTTGTTTCTGAAATTTAAAAAAAAAAAAAAAAAGAGGAGAGAGAGAGGATAAGTGCCTACCTGTACATTGTCAGCATTCACACCTCACATGTCCATGTTTCTGAAACATAACTAATGCTGTCATCCTTCCGGGACTTAGAGTGGTCAGCCTTGCCGTCTGTCCAGACAGTTACTATTTTCACAAATAAAGTAGAAAGGCGAAAGTCTTCGTCTCTAAAAAGCTCGAGAGCCAAGTGTCCGGAAAGGCAGAGTGAAGGGATCGGGTGGGACATTTCTGGGAGCTTCCTGCACCTGCTCATGGCAGACCTGGGCTGGGCCAGTCGGCTGCGTCCCATCTCGGACCCGTCTGCTCCAGCCTGCCGTCGTTCTCTCCGACCGCATCCCCTTCTCGCTGTTCAGCTGAGGCAGGTGGGGACTTCGGAGAGGAACTTTAGCTTACGAGAGCTGGAGAAAGGCAGAGGAAAAACCGAAGCCTAGAACTCGCGTTCACAGCACACGGCTTTTCTGTCCCAGTGAGCAGGAGGCCCCAGTGGCACACAGCCCAGGGCTGAGCACGAGGTGGGGCCCAGCCTAGAGCTAGGCGAGTGTCCTGGGTATTGGAGGGTGTCCAGTCCGGTCTGGAGAGGCTGGGTCTGGCCATGATGGTGGTGTGAGCAGGCAACGGGCATCCCGGCGGCCCCCAAACCCAACAGATGTGACTGGTCCTTCCCAGCCCGCAGGGACCCAGGCTGTTGGCTCCTATCAAGGCTGGCAGTTCCCATCGGCCACCATCCCAGAGCTGGGGGTCAGGGCACATCTTTGTCCTGGGGAATGGGCAGCAGTCACACAGGGCCTTAGTCTTGAGCAGGGACCCGTGGTCCACTGTGGGCTCAGGGGCCAGGCTGGCCTAGCACTGAGAAACCAGACTCTGGAGGTCACACAGCAGGAGCCAAGCGGCCTAACTATGGCCAAGGGGTGTGGGGGTGCTGGGCAGCAGAATCCAGGCAGCGTCCACTCCTCTCTTTCTCCAAATGCCTGAGGAAACAGGCTCTGGGGTGGGGGGAGTGGGGAGCTCATAGCCCTTTTCCTTTGGCCTTCCTGCCAAACTGAGCAGCCCCTCGTGATGGCCTGAAGCTAGCCAGGTACAGCTGCCAATCAGGTGTTCCCCAGAGCCAGCTCTGGCCGCATCCTGCCCTGTTCTGCCAGAATGGCGTGTTTGCTGAGCACCGGAGAAGGCCCATAGCAAGTTCTGCCCAGGCTCAGCCCCTGTGACTCGGTGACTTCCTCCACCCCTGCCCAAAACACAGGACTCATAGAAGAGGTTTCTGGGCCACCTGGTCCCCTGTAGACCCAGGTGAAGAGACAGAGGTCAGCAATATGTTCCCCTCTGCAGGTCTGTCTCCCCACATGGAAGGCACTCAAGGAAGGGATGGAAGAGGGAAGGCCAGAGGGCAGTTGTCACCCTCAGTGGCCCCTCAGTGGTCCCTCAGTGGTCCCAGGGCCCTTCATGCCTCTCTCTGTGGCTGGCTTCCTTGGGGACCCATTGAAGGCAGGATCTTAATCTCAAACGCCTCAGTACCCAGAACCCTGGATGTGGCAAGTGGCTGATAGAATTCAATGTCTATCAAATTAGAATGTGATTGAAAGACTGTTGATGTTAGTAAAACCCAGTGATGTGCAGAGTCTATCCCCACCATCTAGAGTCCCCCTGTTGGGAAACTCTCGTAAGTGATGAGGTTGGTCCACCTAGGAGACGTTAATGCTTGTGTTTTCTCCTGGCCTCTAGGTGAGGACCTGGATTCTCACCGTGGGCTACACAACCGCCTTCGGGGCGATGTTTGCCAAGACCTGGAGGGTCCACGCCATCTTCAAAAATGTGAAAATGAAGAAGAAGGTAACCACTCCTTCCGTTTCAGGGCATCTGCAGTGTTCACTTAACATTTATTTAACAAATATTTATTAAGCACCTACTGTGTGCCAGGCACTGGGCTATTTGCTGGGAATTCGAGATAAACACAATCCCTGCCCCACCCCAGCCCCTCTGCAGCTTCAGTCACCTGGGGAAATGAGACAGTTAACAAAGGGTTTCCCATGCACACTGATAAGGGCTGGTCGGGGACACGTTGGGATGGAGGTTGCTGGGGTACAAGCAGTCAAGGAAGGCTTCATGTAGGAAGTGTCACCTTGCTGAGACTGGTTGGTGAGTAGGGATTAGCCAGGCAGAGGCTGGGGAGTTTTCAAGCCCTGTAGAGGGAACTGTGTGCAGAGGCCTAGGGAGGGGAGGGGTGTATTCCTGTTGCCGAAAGAGGCTCAGTGTGGCTGGGCACTGGGTTCGTGGAGGCAGGATGCAAGAAGAGTCCCCAGGGTAAGGCAGGAGTCATGGTAAGGAATCTGAACTTTAACTTTGGGGCACTGGGAGCCCTTGAAAGGGGGGACTGACACCGGGCAGGGACCTGGCTTAATCATCCCATGTTCAAAGAGGCCCTTGGAAGACGGGAGTTCTGTTTTCATTTGGGCGGAAAGCATTTGCCGCCCGTGTGGTTGGGTGTAACCAGCATGCTGACTAAGCTTGACTCAGGATGTCAGAGAGAAGTGTTTTCCATCACTGGCCTTTTAGTTCTTGCAGTGGTGCTGCTCCTGCCTTGCTCCTAGATGAAACTTGGTGCAAGTCTCATGACTGTGAAGGTCCTCTGGTCAGCAACCGTGTATGGAGTCCATCATAATATCCAGAACGTGAAACTGGCCGCAGAGGCGCACTTCCCCCCCCTGCGCAGGCGTGTGGAGAGGGAGTGCCGGTGGGCCGCCTCTGCCTTCGCCAGCCTGAGCTTTTGCCCTTCGTCGCATTCCCAAGGTTTCTGAACCCTCCGGAGTCGCAGCCCGGAGAAGTGGAAGGGACAAGAATGACCTTACTTGCCAGTAGCTGGCATTGGGCTTGCTGGGCCTGGCAGGGGTTAAGCAGGCTCCTTAGACTCTCCTGGGTGTCTTTGTGGGCTTTCCAAAGCCCCCATTACTATGAATTTCTCTCCAGCAGTGCCCTTGACATGGGTGAAATGCTCTGCCAGTTGGCCTGTTGTGGCTTCTTCCCCCGCCCCGAGCATCTGGCAGTTCCCCGGCTCCTGGGCACAGCTCGCCTTGCCCTCCAGCTTGTCTCACGCTGGGCACATAGCCCTCTCCCGCCCGTGGCTGCGTCCGCTGTGCAGGAGGGAGGCTCTCCTGCACCTTCTCCTGCAATCTTGAGGATTTCCGGTCGATCCCACTGTACCAGATGCCCTCCCCCCACCCCGAGGGCACCTGGCCAGCATGTCATCCCCTCATAGGCTCCTCAGGCATCAGTTCATTGGGTCCCCCAGGCTGCAGGGACCCCTGCCAATCAAGTCCCCTGAGTACTCTCCTGAAAACCTCTCCTAACTTGAGGTCAAAGAGGAACCATCCCCGCACCCCATCCTCTCACCTTGGGGGAGGAGGGTCTCATAACATCACGACACCTTTTTCCAAAATCCTCTTCTTTTTTTTTAATTGAATGCTACACTTTTTTTATTTTGTTGATTTTAGAGAGAAAAACATTGATTTGTTCTTTGACTTATTTATGCATTCATTGGTTGATTCTTATATGTGCCCTGATCGGGGATCAAACCCACAATCTTGGTGTATGGGGACGATGCCCCAACCAACTGAGCTACCCAGCTAGGGCCCCAAAATCCTCTTCTTGACTCAACCCCACCCCATACACACACCTTACTTTTTAAACCCCTGATATGGGTGTTACCTGTTCACAGACACCTCTGCAGATCCTGCATGTGGTCTCACCCCACTCTGGAATGTGGTACCTCTTGTTCCAATTCTTACCTCAAAAGCTTGGGTTTGCCATCCGGTTACTGGATTTGAGCCTTGGCACCTGTGGCAGACAGCGGGCATGCCCAGCGCGGTGGGGCCAGCAGGCGAGGCAGGAGAGCGGGACTTCAGGCAAAACTCCCACCTTTGAGGCCCTCTGTTCCCGTCTATGAAATGGGGGCATATTGAAGTGGTACTGTTTCCTGAGCTGTGGTTCGGCCTGGCGCCCAGTGGCACCTCTTGTTCTCTCATCATCCTCACCACCTTCCTCTCCCACCGCCAGGGCTGCTTTAGGAGCCGCTGCACAGATTGGGGTGGGGGTATCTCCTTCTCTGCCCTCTGCCCCCTGCCCCCTGCCGGGCCGCCTCAGGAAAACTGCCGGCTGCATGTAGAGCGAGGAAGGAGCCCTGCTTGGCCAGCCCCTGCCCGTGCTCTCCGGGAGGCGCCTTCCCTCGCTGGGCTTCGGCAGCATGTGTACTGCTCCTTCTGTCTGTAAGAGCAGCCTGGGGAGCCACCCTTCTCAGCCCGGCTGCAGGTTACAATCAAACGGGAGCTTTTGAAAACTATGAGAAGTAACCCAGCTCCGGCCAGGGAAACCAAACCTGGGCCTGGGGCTGGGCATCAGGAGTGTTGGACTTTCGCAGGTGATAGTGACAGACAGCAGGTGGAAGAGCTCTGGCCGGATCAAGGCTGGGCCGGCCACAGCCGCAGCAGCAGCATCTCGGAGCTTGTTAGAAATGCACGTTCTCACCCCCACCCCAGCCCTAAGAATCCTGGTGGAGCCCAGGGGTGTGTTCCTCACCAGCCCTGCCCGGAGATGCTGATGCCAGCCAAAGTTTGAGGGGCACCAAGAAACTTCTGGAGCCTCCTGCTCTGCGGCTCTGGTTAGAGAGAGGCTCTGCCACTGATGACAACTCCATCCTGGCTTTGGAGAATCAATTCCTCTGTGCCAGTATGTGATTCATCCATATTATGATCTGTAATAAAGAACCAGCCTTTATGTTCCGCTACTCCTGTGAGCGGTGAGCAAGAACTCTGATTGTCTGGCAGCGACTGACAAAGCATGTCGAGGAGACTGTAGGAGTGGAGTTGTCTGCAAGCTCCCCAGAGGTGGAGCTGTGACGTGGCCACACCCTGCGGCCCTGCCTGAGCCCAGGAGACTCGCTGTACCCCTGGCACTCTGGGCAACTGAGAGCTCGGGCTGGTGCTGGGCCCCAGGGTCCAGGGAAGGGCCTGGTCTGAGAAACGCCCAAGGCCCTGAGTGCAGATTTGGTCACGGTTTTGTCTGCTGTGAAGACAATGAAGGCCAGATGAACACACCATTCCAGCATGAGGAACGTTTTGCTCTGGGCTTTCTAGCCATTCCAGGGGCAGGTTTGCAGCGCTGCACCTATCAACCAAATCAGAGGAGGTAAAAGGTGCAGACGAGAAATCTGTATCACCCGCGGGTCCAGAACTCGCGTCGGGGAACCAGATTGTTTTGCAAGGGCTGTGGTCGTTGCAAGTCAGCATTGGGACTGAATTCTCCATGATCTTCTTTTGTATAGCCAAGATTGGTTTTTACCGTTTTGTTTCATTGGTTTTAAGTTTAGACTTTTTTATTAAAGTAGGCCCCTTAATTTTTTTTTTACTGACACATATGCTAGATTTATATAAATTTCCAAATGCAATCATACACTTTTTTTTTTTTCATACAGTCTTTTTTATCCCTTTCTTCTTTCCCTGGCTCCCACCTCCTCTCTCTCCACCCACGGTGGCCCTCCCCAAATGCATATACGAGAACTCCACCCATATGGTTACATTGTTAAAGCCGTTAAAGGAAAAGAAGCCTGTTGACACGTGGTGACTTAATGCTTCCAAATTCGGTATTTTTACAGCATGTTGCCCTTTTTTCTAAGGGCCAGTCATAAAATCTTGAATTGAGAGGCCCCAGTACAGTCTTCATTCTGCCTCTTGCTGGGACCGAATGGAAATGTTGAGACGAGAGCGGTAACTCAGAGCCCAGCTCTTCTGTGGGGCAGATGGGCTTCCTGAGGACAAAGGAAGTTCACTACAAGTGTGACCTGATTCTGTTGCAGACAGTAACACAGGGACATCCACTCAGATCTCTGTCCAGGCTCAGCTCGAGGGAAATGCCAAGAGAGGGCTTTGAACAGCCTCGCCAGAGCGTCCGCCATCTGCGCGGTGCAGGGAGCGGGCCACTGTGCCGCCCAGCCCCAGAGGACACATCTACACTCTGTTCCCCCTGGAGTGTGTCCCTGGAGCCAGGCAAGAGTTGGTCCAAGAGAAGTTCGGTCTGAATCCGTCAAAGTATCCGAAGCTTTTTGAAGAGACAGAGATGCCTTTTTCAGTCAACCAGGAGTCAGCCAACTTCTTCTGCACAGAGCCAGCGGCAGAGTGCAGGCTTCACGGGCAGGGCCGGCTCTGCAGCAGCCTCTCAGCTCTGCGGCTGCAGAATAAAAGCAGCCATATACAGGCGTGAATGGGTATGGCCGTGTTCTAGTAGAACTTCCTTTATGAAAACGAGCAGTGGGCCCGGCCGGTGTGGCTCAGTGGTTGGGCGTTCACCCAGGCACCAAGAGGTCACCAGTTCGATTCCCGGTCAGGGCACATGCCCAGGTTGTGGGCGTGATCCCCACTGGGGGGCCATGCAGGAGGTGGCCAGTCAAAGTTCTTTCTCATCGATGTTTCTATCTCTTTCTCCTTCTCCCTTCCTCTCTCTCTAAAAGCAATGAAGAAAACAAAATTAAAAATGAGCAGTGGGCCGTATTTGCAGTTGCTAATCCCTGATTCAACACAAAAGGAAGTACCCTGTTAACAGTAGCTGACATCTGTTGAACAGTCACTGTAAGCCAAGCACTGATAACCTAATGTGGTTGGTGTCCTTGTCACCCCCATTTTACAGATGAGGAAACTGGCTCAGGGGGTTAAGAAGCTTATCCCAGATCATATAGCTTGTTCTAAGATGCCAACTCAGATCTGGTGCCATAACCTGGTGAGTCCTCATTCCTGGGCACCTTGCTCTCCTCTCTCACCCAGTGAGGACAGGGCACTAGTAGCCTCCTAGCCTCAGAGAGGGAAGGGAGTGTGATGGCATCAATACGCACTGATGTAGCTTTTGAAGAGAAAGCTGAAAAATAAGGAAGTAAGAGAAGCTGAGGTGAGACTTGAGAGAGGGCCTTGCCTAATGTGAGGATTCTTTGGTACTTAGACTTTGTATGGTCAGGTCAGTGCTGTTTGTAAAATTTTAAATATTAGATCTCTCTTTTTTTTATCCTCACCTGAGGACATTTTCCCATTTTTTGTTCATATAGAGAGGGAGGGAGTGAGGGAGTGAGGGAAAGAGAGAGAGAGAGAGAGAGAGAGAGAAAAAAACATCGATGTGAAATGGACACATCAAGTGGTTGCCTCCCACATGACCCAACCAGGGCCAGGGACTGAGGTACATGCCCTTAGCGGGAACCGAACCCGGGTCTCTCTGGACTGCAGGCCAATGCTCTAACCACTGAGCCAAACTGGCCAGGGTTTAGATCCCTTTTTAATAGGTTATTTTAAATCACCTCTCCTTGATCCTGTATTGTGTATATGTGTGGGTATTTATTTACTTATTCACAGTTAGTCTCTCTCGCTATTGCATGCACCTTGAGGGCAGGATACTTATGTTTTGTCCATCCCCCATGCCTAAGATAGAACCTCACTCAGAGTATGCACTTAATGAATCTTTCTGCAAGTAGTATATGAAATGTAGTTTAAATCCATTCAGTGACAAACACTGGCCAGGCTTTGGGAATGGTACCAAAAGGAAATTAGACATGTTCTCTCCTCTTATTCTCAGAATCTTCCTACCATGTATCCATCAGTGTGATAATTAGTCCTGGGTCTAGTAGAGCTGAGGTGCAGTATCACATTTTCCCTCTAGATGTCACTGTCAGGCACATAAACAGAACCGCTAATTGTCAAAACCCAAGTAATGGTAACCAAATAGCTGCCATTTGTTGAGCATCTCCTCTGTACCAGACACTGTAACTAGATGCTCTCCATGTATCTCATTTTACTTTCATACCAACTCTGCAGCTTAGGGCTCTGTGGCCCATTTCAGAGGTGAAAATGAGCCTCGCAACGTTATGCAGCATGCCCAAGATCACATTTGTCAAGAGCTGGGATTAGAATGAGGTCTTCTAAACCCAAAACCCGTGTTCTTCCCTGGCACCATACTTAGAGATAATACATGAGCCTCCCTGCTCCCTGCGTTCTCCTGCCCCTTGACATTTTATAAATGAGAAATTTAGAATGAGAGAGGAAGTGATTGGCCCAGGATCATACAGGTAGCAAGAGGTGCAGCCAGGACTCCAATCCAAGTCCACTTAATCCCAAATCCTGTCTTTCCACTGCCACGTGCTACCTCAGACTTCATACTAGAGCCTTAAAATGGAAAGGCTTTATCACATTTATCAAAGGGAAGTCCTGGTGTTCATCTGTAAGGCCAGCTGTGCACCTGGGTGCCTTCCGATTCGGGCAGCAGCAGAAGAGGGGCTGTGTCCACCCTGAAGGGAGGTCTCCTCCCTTCACAGGTGACTCCCTGAGGATGGCCCCACCCCGTGTTTCTCAGCTCTTTCCCTTCAGTGCACCACTTCTTGTCCAGTGTAGACTGTGCAGTCCCAGCAGACCCACAGTTCTGTGTGCTGGAGTGTAAGGTGTTCCACACTCCCGTACCTCATGAGCTCTTGGGAAGAGACCAGGAGAAAATGGCACTGCTGAGCAAGTCCAGGGTCACTGGCTCCTGGAAGTAAGGCCACGGGAAGAGCAGTCAGCCTGTAGTCTCGTGGGAAAGCCGTGGCGGAGAAGATGGAATGTGGGGGTGCTGGCACTTACTGGTGGGGAAGCTTGGGGAGGGAGAAGGACTGAAGGCTAAGGCGAGCTGGACCGGAGGGTGCCCAGTGTCTGTGGCATCAGCATCCTCCGTCCATCCTGGTGGTCACTGCTCTGCGTCGGACCTCCTCCCTGCTCACCTGGACAACTGCCCTAGCTCCTAACCGGTCTCCTGCAGCAGACTCCCACCTTGGTTGGGCCCATCCCTCACTGCTGCAGATTACTCCCATCACCCCGGAGTTAAAGGTGCTCAAACCCCCGTGGACCCTCGTGAGGCCCCGTTACGTCCTGCAAGCCCTCCCGCTCAGCTGGCACTGTCTCCAGCCACTCCCGACTCACCCCATCACACCCAGCCGCACCCAGAGCCTCTCACAGGAAGAGTAGGGTGTTTCAGACGAGAGAACCAGCACCTGCAAAGGCCTGAAGGATGAAAACCACAGCTCAGCCTCAGAATAGGAAGGAGTTAAGCATCAGTGAAGTGTACATGTTTGGGAAGTGGTCAGAACAAGCTTGGGAAAGGCTTGCGTGTCAAGAAAAAGAGCTTGGCTGAATGTATCCTATGGGTGATGGGGAGTCACAGGAGCCCCCAGAACCAGGGGTGACATGACACAGTCCCTCCCCTCAGCTGCCATCCAGGAATGTCTCCCAGCTCTGTGATTTGTGGTGCCGTCTCCTCTGCCTGACCCCCACCCCACAACCTCCTCCCTCCGGGCCTCCAGCTCCTCCTCTGTGAGCCGCTTCCTGTCCTCCAGCACCCTCTCATAATCATCCCTGACAAGTCTGTCTCCTGCCAACCCCGGGGGCAGCGCCGGGATCTATCCATCTCTGTCGCCAGCGCCCCACATGGGGACGGGCGCTGAGTGAGTGCTCAGGGCATGTTCTCCTAGGGCATCATCCACCAGCCGGTGCTTGTTGAATACTTTTCCTCTGCTGGGCTCAGGCAGGTGCTAAGAATAGAGAGAGGAGCAAAAATCCAGCTGCACAGAGCTCACAACATAGTAGGATGACAGACATGAATCAGATGATCACACATACAGTGTGAAGTGGCTACTCAGGGACATCAGCTACGGGGGTGTCAGCAGAAAGGTGGGGGAAGACCTTCCAGGGCTCAGGCACAGCGTGAGCAAAGCGCCCTGGGTGAGCACCGCCCTGCCAGCCTGTCCTCCTAAGCTCCTCGGGCATTTCTTCCTTTTGCCCCAATTTCTCAGGGCTGGCAGGCAGTCACTTCGCTCCCCAGAGGGCCGGGGTTAGCTGGGTTTATGCAAAGCATTCGCCAGTCACTAGATGTTTCTGGAAAATCTCAAGGACGGGGCTTTGCCAGCCCCAGGTAAAGTGGCCTTGGTGGATTGGGTCTCTTCAGCAATAACTCAGAGATTTTTTTTTCCTGTTCTTTTCATGGTTTGGCTGCAGAGAGGCCCCTTGAGTTTCTAGTTCTCTTTTAAAAGTGGCTTTAATCATTAAAAGCCAGTCCTGGTGATATTTCATAGGTGTCTGCCCAAGTTTTGTTTATTTTTCTATAATCTTTTCTGGAACTACTTCATCACATTAGCTTTATGGGGGTGGGGTACATAAACATGCAGTGAGCGAACCGCAAGCTAGCTTTGCACTGACAGCATGTGTCCCCGGGCCACTCTCTTTCAGGGGGACAGAAAGCGGGGCGAGAATTTCACAGTGTAATAAAGCTATCACAGGCGGCAAAGAGGGATGGAAGTTATATTTCTTCTTTTTATATTCCTTCTTGGTTCAATCCATCAAACTCCCTACTGCATGTCAGGCCCGGCTAGGTCCTGAGGGTACACAAATAAATGTTTACTGAGGAAGGCAGATGCGTATGAAACTTAATATGATGTCAGCTCAGTTCTGTAAATAGTGGAGGGTATGGACTCTGAGATAGGAGGAACTTGGTTCAAATCTGGACTTCACCTCTTAGGAGCAATATTACACTGAGCGAGTTCACCCCACACAAGCCTCAGTTTCTTTGTCCATAAAATGGGAATAATAGTGTGTGTCTTTATATATGAGATGAGGTACGTAAAGCAGTCAACCCAGAGGCAGGCATGGAGTAAGTGTTCATTAAATGCTAGCTGTTCTTTCTGTTCTTTCTACTATTATCTACTCCTGATAAGTATGTGAACAGTGCTATGGTAGCCATTAATTCTGCTGTGGCAGTAAGAGGGGTCTTCATGGAGGAGGTGACAATAGACTTGGGTCTTTAGGAATTATTAGGAGTTTGCCAGACCAAAAGGAAAGAGTGTTTCAGACAAAAGAACTAGCCCCTAACAAGGAGTGGGAGGTGAAATCACAGCAGGGCCTCAGACTAGGCGTGGCCAGGCCAAGCTTGGGAAGGACCCGGAATGTCAAGCAAAGGAGCCTGGCTGATTTATCCTGCAGGTGATGGAGAGTCTCCAGGGGTTCCCACTCTGAAGGTGGCCCGACTCAGCCGTTCCCCTGAACCGGCCCTCAGCTGCTATCTGGGGAGCAGTCTCACACCCACTCTGCTCTTGCCTTCTCTGCAGATCATCAAGGACCAGAAACTGCTGGTGATCGTCGGGGGCATGCTGCTGATTGACCTGTGCATCCTCATTTGCTGGCAGGCCGTGGACCCCCTGAGAAGGACGGTGGAGAGGTACAGCATGGAGGTAAGCGCGGGCGCCAGCAGAGGGAGGCCTGCGGGAGGCCTCTCCCAGACACGTGGGGACAGAGCAGCCCACCTGCTCAGCTGGACTCGGCAGCCCAAGGTGCACTTCTTGAGAAGAAATCAGGTGGTCGCGGGGAAACCATCACAGTCCATAAGGGCCCACATTCTCTATCAGGAACACATGATTTCTGTTTCCTTCTATTTGAGACATACATTATTTCAGGAAGGCCAGATATAAGGTCTTCACTCCTGGGGGGGAGATTGTGAAAGAATTTGTCTAGGTATATGGATATATGCAGAATTAAAGAGAAACGCTGAGCCGCTTAAATAAATATACTTTCTATACATTGTAGAAATCTCCATTTATCGGACCTATCAGTCCAGAAATTACATTGTGGTTTTATTCTCTTCTTCAAAATAAATTCCTTAATGAGTGCTACTAGGGCATAAGCACGCTGAGAACTCCTCCGAGTTACCATACGATTTGCAAAGTGATAAACAGTAGATTTCTTTTCACATATTTGATATCAGAAATTTGTTGTTAAAATAAAGAACCTCACATAACAGTACTGTGAAACATACATGGGAGTTGTCTTGCATTCGGCCTTGTCCTTCAAAGCGATCTTCCTAGGATGCTCCAGATTAGGGAAGTTCAAGGTGAGGGAAGTGCATCTTTGTTGGTTCTCTCTGAGAACCGTTAAGCCCGCCTCTGCTGGAGAGAGCGGGCTGCGCGGGCCGTGCTCTGATTCCCTGCAGCAAATTCCACGGAGAAAACGGGATTTTTTTCCAGTTCTCCCCCTGCACTCTTAGGGAAATCTTTTTGTGGCTTTCGGTATGAATTCTTAAAATAACCTGGACAGCCCTGGCCGGTTTGGTGCAGCGGTAGGAGTGTCGGCCTGTGGTACTGAGAGACCCGGGTTCGGTTCCCGCTAAGGGCACGTACCTCGGTTGCAGTTTGTCCCCGGCCCTGGTTGGTCGTGCGGGTGGCAGCCACTCGATGTGTCCCTTCACATTGATGTTTCTCTCTCTCTCTCTCCCTCTCTCTCCCTCCCACTCTATCTGAACAAAAAATGGAAAAATGTCCTCGGGTGAGGATAAAAAATAATAATAATAAATAACCTGGACATTGTCATTCTGTGCATTGGGGACAGAAGTTTTTATCCTTCTGGACAAGAAAGTTTTCTAGCAGATGAGATGCCCAGTCGCGTTTGTCTGGAGACAGCCAGAGGGTGTACTCAGCCGAGTGAGAAATGACGCCATCAGACCGGTGGCTGAGGATGCCGCTTCTGACAGCGTGGATTTAGGAGGGAGATTCAGGGCTGTGTGCCTCCGTCTCATCGCCTTAAGTGTACATCCTGGGAGGAAGCAGAGCCAGCAGACCCAAACAGACCCAACACTGGCCTGCCCATGGATGAAGGGGACAGGAGCGCAGATGAGGTCACGTGGGTAGACAGGTTGTTTCCAGAAGGGAGGTGATATCTGGTCACCATTCATCTGCACAGGTGGCAAAGGAGCAGTCCCGCCCCTGAATCCACCCAGAGGGAGTCCCTCACCACCACCACGATTTGGAAATCCAGACAGGGTGTCAACACAAGGAAAAGCTGCCATTGGCTAACGGGGCCCCCAGGCTGTGGAGAGCCTGGGGTGATGATAATACAAGCAGTAATGCTAATAGTAGTAACAGTGATGGTGGTGACAGCTAGCTTTGTGTGTTATCTCACTGCATCCTCAGTAATGCTGTGGAACAGGTGCAATCCCGTGTTACTAATGAGGAAACCTAAACCCAGAGAGGTTGTATAACTTACCCAAGATCACCCAGCAGGTTGGTGGCAAGACCACTAACTACCCTCTCACCCGCTACCCTCCCTTTCCTTTCAACACATGACAGGGCTCTGTGTTTTTTAAAGGTTTTCATACATAGACCTTGGGTTGTTGGCCACAGATCTGTGTAGTGGGTAGGGCAGGAAAGTGTCTCCACATTCTGCAGATGAAGACTAAAATTACATTCATGGGCTGACTGAGGGCCCGGGATGTAGAAAGGGAAGAAAAGCCAGTCAAACAGAGCCCATGGAAGACCTGGAGCTGGACAGGTGGACAGAAACCAGACCTGGCCGGCGTGGTGCTGAGCCCAAGGGCCGGCGAGGAGCCGGGCGAGGCTGCCTCCATTCAATGTTAGTATTCACTAGGGGCTCCCCAGGTGTAGAGCTGGGGTCAGCCTGAGTCAGCATACTCCGCAGACGGGTCCAGGAAGCCTGTCCCCCTGGACCTGTTAAAGGAGATCAGCCCCGTGCAGTCCGATTCATACAAGTGATGGTTTGCTATCATCGTCATACCTTTCTTCCTTCCTCTCTGTGACAAGTAGTGCTGCTCTCAAGCTCCATGCACAGAACCCTAGCCCTTGCCAGACCTGCCAGGGCAGTGCTTCTCAAACTGAGGGGCTGCAGGGTGCCATGGAAATGCCCTTCTGTATAGAAGAGAAAGCAGCCTGGGAAGGGCCCCTGAGCCGGCTCTGGTTCAACCCAGATGCTATCTCTGTGTTCCCCTCCAGGTATCTGCTGGGATTTCTCTCTCAACCTTTTCTGGCCTGCTCCTCTTTTTCTCTTATTTTAGGGTTGCCCTGACACTCTGTTGCCATGGTAGCAGAACCCTTCTATTTGTCGACCTGTGGGCCTGTGGGTTTACTGTTGGTTTATTGTCGTTTTTCCACCAAACAGTGCTAAGCTGTCAGCTGTTTTCCGTCAGACCTCCCCTGTCAGACGCAGCGGTAGGTGAACAGCGTGCCCAGCGCTGTGCAGTGTCCTATATTCTCCTCCAGGGCAGGTTTTTCTAGGACCCCCAGGGAGAGAGAGGTAATCAGAGATCCTCGTGGTCTGTTCCTCTCCCGCCGCCTGCCTCAGACGCCTGAGATTGCTCTGCGTGCTCTGAACACCAGGATTCCAGTCACCGCCCTCACTCTGTTTCGTTTTCAAGCCTGTGCCTATGCTTCTCCTTTCTGGAACCTTCTCTGACAAGTCAGTGAACTTTAGTACCAGGCCCTGTGTTGCCACCATGGGACATGTCCCTGAGTCCCTTGGCTCCACCACATTTACAAGCTGCCCTCCCTGCTCCTGTCCCTAGCATCCTGACCGTCGGTGCTGAGGGCATCCCTGTCCCGCCCACCCCACCCGCTGGGCCTCCAGCTTCTCCAGGACAGGGCAGCGTCTGAGCACTCTCTCTCAGTGCCCAGCCAGCACCCGCACCCATCTTCCATCTGTCACGGGGAGGGCAGAGGTGAGCACAGCGGCCCAGGTCCTTGACTTCATGGTGCCACGCAGACAGATGAGCGTAGTTATTTGAGATCACATTGATTCTAATAAGTAAATAGGATGAAGGGTTTGAGAACAACAGAAGGACCCATGGAGGTGATTCTCCCCATGAGAGGACATGCAAGTGTCCTGGGGCTGAAAATTGGATTCTGAAGTCCCGCTGGAGGCATCCCAGCGCCAGCCTCATTCTCTGTCCTGTAATAAATATTTACTTAGCTTCTGCTATGTGCCCGGTATATTTTCTCTCAGTCTATATCTTGTCTTTTCATTCTCTTAACACAGAATTTTTCTTTATTTTAATAAAGTTCAACTTATGATTATTTCTTTCATGGATCGTGCTTATGGTGTTGCATCTAAAAATTTATTGCCAAACCCAAGGTCACCTAGATTTTCTCCTATTATCTTCTAGAAGTTTTTCAGCTTTGCATTTTACATTTAGGTCTCTAATCCATTTTGAGTTAATTTTTGTGAAAGGTGGAAGGTCAGTGTCTAGATTTATTTTAATGCACGTAAATGCCTAGTTGTTCCAGCACTGTTTGTCAAAAATACTTTCTCCATTGGATTGCCTGTGTGTCTTTGTCATCCATGAGTTGACTATATGTGCATGGGTCTCTTTATTCTGTTTCACTGGTCTACTTGTCTATTTTCTTTCACTAATACCCCACTGTCTTATTTACTCTAGTTTTATAGTAAGTCTTAAAGTTGAATAGTGTCAAAGTTTTCTGACTTTGTTCTTCAATATTGTGTTAGCTATTCTGGGCCTTTTGCCTCTTCATCTAAATTTTAGAATCAGTTTGTTGATATCCACAAAGTAACTTGCTTTTTGATTGGGATTGTGTTGCATCTTGATAGCTCAAGCTGGGAAGAACGGGCATCTTCACAATATTGAGTCTTCCTATCCATGAACATGGAATAGCCTTCCATTTATAGAGATCTGTTTTGACTTCTTTCATCAGAGTTTTGTCGATTTCCTCATATAGATATTATACATATTTTGTTAGGGTTATACCTAAGCAATTTTGGTTTTGGTGCTAATATAAATAGTATTGTGGTTTCAAGTTTAAATTGCAATTGCTCTTTTCTGGTCTATAGAAAAGCAATTTTTGTATATTAAGCTAGTGTTCTACAAACTTTATAATTGCTTATTAGTTCCAGGAGGGTTTTTTGTTGATTCTTTGGGACTTTCTACCTGGACAATCATCTGCAATTTTATTTCTTCCTTCCTAATTGGTGTACCTTTTATTTCCTTTCTTGTTTTTGTATTAGTGAGGCCTTCTTTCCAATTTTAGGGAAGACATCTAATTTCTCACTATTTAGCATGAAGTTGGTGCATCTTTTTTTTTTCTTAAAGATCACGTATAACAGTTCCACTGGCCAAAGCCAATGGTGCCTTTGGGGAGATGACAGAAAGGGCAGTTGATGATGCAAGCAGAGCCGGGTTGTTAGGGACCATGTGCGCTAAGCAGAGAAGTTAAAACTTCAAAATCAAAGACAATTAATCAGGGAGGTGACATGATCAGATTTTCCCTGGCTGCGGGGTGAGAACAGATGGAGGGCGAGGCTGGAGACCCAAAGATGGCTCAGAAGTGGTTTTTGCTATAATCCAGACAGGAACTGATGGTGACTTAAAGCAGGGCAGTAGCAACGGGAACAAAGAGCAGTAGGTGGATTTGAGAGATATCAGTAAACAGACGTG